TGTCTTACAGCCAGAGGACAAATGTCTCACAGCCAGAGGACAAATGTCTTACAGCCAGAGGACAAATGTCTTACAGCCAGAGGACAAATGTCTCACAGCCAGAGGACAAATGTCTCACAGCCAGAGGACAAATGTCTTACAGCCAGAGGACAAACGTCTTACAGCCAGAGGACAAACGTCTTACAGCCAGAGGACAAACGTCTTACAGCCGGAGGACAAACGTCTTACAGCCGGAGGACAAACGTCTCACAGCCAGAGGACAAATGTCTTACAGCCAGAGGACAAACGTCTTACAGCCAGAGGACAAACGTCTTACAGCCAGAGGACAAATGTCTTACAGTCTGAGGACAAATGTCTGACAGCCAGAGGACAAATGTCTGACAGCCAGAGGACAAATGTCTTACAGTCTGAGGACAAATGTCTTACAGCCAGAGGATAAATGTCTTACAGCCAGAGGACAAATGTCTCACAGCCAGAGGACAAATGTCTTACAGCCAGAGGACAAACGTCTTACAGCCAGAGGACAAACGTCTTACAGCCAGAGGACAAACGTCTCACAGCCAGAGGACAAATGTCTCAGTCTGAGGACAAATGTCTTACAGCCAGAGGACAAACGTCTTACAGCCAGAGGACAAACGTCTCACAGCCAGAGGACAAATGTCTCAGTCTGAGGACAAATGTCTTACAGCCAGAGGACAAACGTCTCACAGCCAGAGGACAAATGTCTCAGTCTGAGGACCAATGTCTTACAGCCAGAGGACAAACGTCTCACAGCCAGAGGACAAATGTCTCAGTCTGAGGACAAATGTCTTACAGCCAGAGGACAAACGTCTCACAGCCAGAGGACAAATGTCTCAGTCTGAGGACCAATGTCTTACAGCCAGAGGACAAACGTCTCACAGCCAGAGGACAAATGTCTCAGTCTGAGGACAAATGTCTTACAGCTGGAGGACCAATGTCTTACAGCCAGAGGACAAATGTCTTATAGGTGTCTCATAGTGAGGGGACAGATGTCTCATAGTGAGAGGACAGATGTCTCATAGTGAGAGGACAGATGTCTCATAGTGAGAGGACAGATGTCTCAT